TTTTGAGTCTACCTGAGTTGCCTTCCCATTCTTCCAAAGGTCATAAACTCTGGTTTTTTACAGGCTGCATGGAGAACGGATTGAGAGCAGCCCTAAGGAGAAGGACTTGGGGGTGTTGGTTGATGAAAAGCTCAGCATGACCCAACAACGTGCATTTGCAGCCCAGAAAGCCAACCGTGTCCCGGGCTACATCACAAGAAGCGTGACCAGCAGGTCAAGGGCAGTGATTCTGCCCCTCTACTCTGCTCTTGTGAGACCCCACCTGGAGTGGGGTCTCACATCCAGCTCTGGGGGCCCCAACATAAGAAGGACATTCAGCTGCCTGGAGCAAGTCCAGAGGATGGCCATGAAGATGATCAGAGGGCTGGAGCACCTCTCCTGTGAGGACAGGCTGAGAGAGTTGGAGCTGATCAGCCTGAAGACGACAAGGCTCTGGAGAGACCTTATAGCAGCCTTCCAATACCTGAAGGGGGCCTACAGGAAAGATGGTGAGGGACTATTTGTCAGGGAGTGCAGTGATAGGACAAGGGGTAATGAGTTTAAACTGAAAGACAGTTGATTTAGATCAGAACAATTCTTTACTGTGAAGGTGCTGAGGCCCCCTCCCTGGAAGTGTTCAAGGCCAGGTTGGATGGGGCTTTGGGCAACGTGGTCTGGTGGAGGGTGTCCCTGCCCATGGCAGGGGAGTTGGAACTAGATGATCTTTAAGGTCCCTTCCAACCCAAACCATTCTATGATTCTATTAAACTACAGACAACTGTACATTAGTATCTTCCCCCACCTCTCATCCTCACATTTTAAAAGCAGGGCAAAAGACTTTTTTTTTCCTTCACATCTTAGTCAGCCAGATACCCTGCGTACAGACTATATGGAGGTTTATAATAAATAAAAAAAAGGAATACTCTGTTATTGGACGTATTACTCCTAAACTGTTTATACAAGTATTTCAATTCGTGCTTTTGCAGTCCTCAAACTACAGTACATTACAGGCTCAAAAGTCATGATGTTCATATTCTCAAGATATATCCATGTTACAACACTCAAAATTCAAAGTTCAATCAAGGAGAAATGGCTTTTCTGCCACCAGTGACTCAAAATCTGATGGTAACTATTGAAGAGTTTACAGTACAGGAAAAAAATATTACTTTGTTTCATATGATTTTTACCCTATATTATCTTCAGTTTCTTTCCCAGAAAAGCTCTATAAAACAATGATTCACTAGTTAATTCAGAAGAAGTTAAAATCAATGTCAGACCTTTCAGCACCAAAATATTGTGGAAAATACAGCTACCTTTGTAATTTATTTATTTCTTAATAAATAATGTCTTTAAAGAAGTACTGCATCTCCTCCT